TCTTAGTGAGTGGAGAGTCCATGGAGCCAGCTTTAAACTAAGTTTTGGCACCAATAACAAATTAACTATAGGACTGTGGAGCTCAGTAGGACTGAGAAATCAGCCACAAGGAATTTGATACTGTGCAACTACACAGCCACTGTTTGTGGCACATACAGTCTATGCCAAAGTTCATCAGTTCTAAAATAGGATGATAATAATTTGATACAGAATATTTTCCTAACAGTTTTCAGTTGAGTTCAAACCAGAATTAATTTGTGGAACACCTGAAGTTTGTAATATATATGAAGAATCCAAGTATGCCGTAAAATAGTACTTGTGGCCTTATTAGAACAAGTTAATCACTAAGACTTATAAACTATGAAATTAGTAAGTCTACATTTGTTTACCCATGCATTAGTAGTTGTTTAGCTTAAAAAGTCATCTGTGTGAATCAACATAAATCCCTACTAGGACATTTGCACATTGATTTAAAACTGATTCTGCTAACTTAAAGGGTTGAGCAGTGCAAAACTAAAATAAATCATGTTTAAATCCTAGCATTATCTTTGGAAAAGCTGTGTATGTTTCAGTAAGCCAATATGAAATTATACTCTTCCTTAGGCAGGTATATAGATGAGGTCTAATTTGTACAGTATTGTTTTGTCCACTGTTATTATAATACAGTTGAAAATCTCAGCAGAACTTTTTCTCAAAGGTAACAAGCCCCCAGCAATGTTGCCAAAGCGTGCAGAATACATGCTGAAGGATATAAAAAGGATGGCAAAATACTACCAAGTGCCTGTACAAATTTCAGAAGATGACTTCCAACGTGTACTGGGTACAGGTAAGTAAGAGGCTTAGCTTAGCTGGTCTCTTTCAACTCAAGCACTTCTGGTTCAAGTTCTCCGTAACAGTAAAGGTAAAGATTAATTCCCTGTCCACAGACTCTTCCTGTATCTGTGAGCAATATGAAGTATGTGCATTTTTAACCATAAAAGGAACTTCTGGAGAAATATGCTTGTGAATGTTAATAGCATGGAAGATACTGTGAATCAACATCAGCTTTACTGTTTGGGGACTGTTACAGAGAAGATGATACTGTTCTTAGGTAGCACTTGTGCAGACCATATCTGTTCCTGATCCTGTGCCTTGTTTCAGTATGTTTCTCTGTCTCCCCATTAATCCTAGGCAGTCTTGGGGCCATGCGTTTTATCACAGCCATTGATATGACACAACCACAATACTTGGAACCCTTATCTAGGGAGTTCTGGATACGTTTTTGGTCACAGGTCAGTATTTTATGAAGCCTACTTCTCAATCCTTTCTCAGTCACCCTTCCTGTCCCACTTTGTTCAAATGTGGAATTTGAGCAAGAGAAAGGAAATATCTTTTAACAAAAAGTCATAGCAGGAAACTTAAGGTCATAGTGGTTCAGAGGCCATTACAAGAAAAGAACTAGCTCATAGTCAGCTTTATTTGCCTTCTTTTAGGTATGTATGGTGAATCCTTATGAGCTGAGTGGTTCACTAGTTCATATCAGAAAGGACTTAATACATTTCTACATTAGGTGACTTAAAACTTTTTCTGAGGAAATTTCTCCAGCAACTAGTATTGTTTTTATTTCTATTTTCTTAGAAAACGTGGTTCTCAAGTCCAGAGCTGAGCTTTTGTTCTTAAGTACTGAATTACTTATTTTATTCTTTTACCAGCGTGAAGATATCAGTCAGCCGGAGAATATATTGGCTGTAAGTGTCTCCTTTTTGTTGGTGCTTCTGTGTTTCTGATACAGATTCTTATTTATGGCTTGAATCAGTAATAGACTTGAAGACAGCTTAGTCAAATACTCACTTGGAGTTTTGAAAATTTTCATCTAGAAAATTTTCCCTAGCAGCTCTGTTTAGAATGATTGGGTTTTATTTTGGTCATGCTTTAAATGACACTCAGAACCAGAGTCTCCTTTTTTGTTAATTCACATGGCGAGATGGACAATGAATTATCTTAAGAGTAGTGAAAGTATGAACAGTCTCCAGAATACATTGAGGTTTTGCTGCTATATGAAATCCTCAGGTGAAATGCAACACTCTGGGGAAGTTGACTTTCCTTGGAATGATGGAGCCAGGCTTTATTATTAAGTTCAGTGCCATATTGCCCTTTTACATGCTTAGAAATTACACTCTTTTGATGTATTTCCTTTTGCTCTTTAGATTTTGTTTAGTACAGTAAAAGCTGTAATGGCATGTAAGTTACTACACCATGAGATCCTGTTTAAGGGCTCTCATTTCTACATTGTTTTTTTTTTTTAAGTTCTTGGAATGTGAAGAAAAGAGAGGAATTGTCCATGACTAGCCCCTCCTATCCAACATCCCCATTTGAAACCTGAAACTTGCAGTCTTCCCCGGAGTCCAGTCCTTGCACTTCAGCTCCATCTAAGTGTACCTCTTTCAGTAGAATTTCAGCAAACGTTTCCATTTTGCCTTTACAAGAGGCAAGATTTGAAGGATGTTATTAAACTGTGGTGTGTTAACCCTGGTAGGCAGCTAAACACCACGCAGGTCCTTGCTCACTTCCCCACACTGCCCAGTGGGACAGGGGAAGAGGAAAAGAAGAATAAAAGCAAGAAAACTTGTGGGTTGAGATAAAATTGTTTAATAAGCAAAGGAGAAGTGGAAGGAGAAAGAAAACAAAAGATGCAAAGGAGAAAGAAAACAAGTGATGCAAAGGCAGTCACTCGCCACCTCCCATGGGTAGACTGATGCCCAGACAATTCCCAAGCAAAAGGTGGCTAACCTCCCTAAACTCCCTTCTCATTGCATGATGTTTTAAGGCATGGAATATCTCTTTGGTTGGTTTGGGTCATCTGCCTTGTATGTGTCCTCTCCCAACCTCTTGCACACCCACAATCTGTTCATGGGGTGGGGGCAGGGAGAGGGAGAAACAGAGAGGGCCTTGACACTGTGCAAACACCATTCAACAATAGCTAAAACATTAGTGTGTTATCAAATCAGCATTGGTTTGGTCACAGATCTAAAACACAGAACCACAGGAGCTGCTGTGAAGAAAACTAACTCCATCCCAGCCAGACCCAGTATATAAATATACACAGAAAGTCCTCACATAGTCTGAATGCATCATTATTTAAATAAAGCAAGGACATGCAGAACTTCAGAGAAACAAACTTCATACTCAAAAAGATCTCTGTGTCACTGTTTGGCAGTATATGCGTATCCCCCTTTGTTCAGCAAGGCAGAGAGGGAGGCAGCTCCTTGTTTGCTTGTGTCTGTCTTCATTCACTCCTGCAGCAAAGTACTAGACTTTCCTCTCTTCTGGAAATACGCTATCCAAAGGTGGGTGAGTGGTCCCAGCCCTTTCATCTGAGTCTTTATAGGTGAATTTATTTTACACATCAATTGGAAAAATGGAATTTTGTTTACTTCATACAGTTCCTTAGTATTTTTTTACTTCTTTTTTTAGTCAGCAGTAACTTCACATAAATTACTATAGAAGTGATGTATAGTCTTTGAATCCTGTTGCAGTCAACTTAAATAACCCTTCTGCCCTAACATCGTGAGGACCAGATACTACATCTCTGTAAATATTGCCGTCTAAACATTGTGGCTACCAAGCATACACAGCATTTTGTTCTAGTCCAGTGCTACACTTGTTTATCTCCTGTTCAAGCAGAGTCAAAAAGAGCTCCTAATCTCCCTGATGTGGAAGTAGGAGAAGGTAGAGGAAAATACGGATGCTAAATGAAAAAGTGATTGAGAGGAAAAAAAAAAAGGAAAAAATCATTAACACCTGCATGTGCAGGATTACTGGTCTCTGCAATACTGTAAGTGTTTTTTAATATTTTTTTTTTAAAATGGCATGTCATTCAGTAGATGGCATGGAAGTTAACATCTTTTGTGAAATACTTTATTAAAATAGGTACTTGTAGCTTCGATGTTACCTGGTAAACATTGGACCTTTACTTTTGGCCACTTTATCTTGTTCCTGTATGGGAGAGCCACAGAGGAAGCTAAAAAGGTATAGCAATAACACTAGTAACTTTAACCTCTGTGAGTTATAGTCTCTTTCATGCAGTATCACTTATAGATCCTGTGTGGCCACATTAGTCATAAAAACTGTTTTTGTCTTGGCAGGCTTGTATAGTAAGATTTTTCTTTTTCAGAACAACTTTTTTTTTTAAGTTACCCGGTAAGTCATTGGATCAGAGGTTAAACTTAGTATTTCTCTTTTTTTTTTCCTTTCTTTTTTATTTTGTTCAGGAACTCCTGAAAAAAAGTGCGTATGTGGGGCTTGGAAGTTTAAAATATCCCTTCTACTTTGTATCTGAGAGTTGATAAATGATGAATGGGTTGGGAATACAGCAAGACAGATGTACAAGAAGTGCTTCAAGGGTATTTTGTAATTTTTTTGGTAATAGACCTTGGGTGATAATACTGAAGATTAAATTAATTGGACCATAGTAGGAATTAGAATATTTAGGACTAGAGTACTCTTAATTATATCATCTTTTCTCAGGTTGCTGGACAGGCTGGGCTATCATCAGAGCTCTCCCAGAAGCTACTTGAAATGATTTCATCCCCTGCAGTGAAGAACCGCCTGAGAGAGACAACAGAGGAAGCAATAAAATATGGGGTGAGATGTTTCCAATGCCATTTGTCATCACAGCTATGCATTCCTTCCCTATTAAGAATACTGGGAAGCAAGGAACAATGAAGGTGATGATTAGAAAGCACTATAAGTGCTTTCTTAGCACTATAGAAAGCAAAGTGGTCTTTGCTTTTTGAACATGTGAAAGCTAATTCGCTGTTGTTGGTAGTTTATCTCATTGTCAGGTTGCTTTTTTTGCTCCTTCAAAAGGGGCATACAGGCTCTGGAGAGTCATCGTTAAGAATGAAGATAGTAAAAAGAAGGGGAGGGAAAAAAAGTTGAAGTTTTTGCTTTTTATTCCTGCAGATTGATCATGTGTCTGCAAAAATTTCTCTCATTATAACATTCTCTGTTTATCTCCATGGTGTAAATAGGCATTTGGGATGCCTGCTGTTGTGGCACATTTTAATGGGGAACCTCATCTCTTTTTTGGCTCTGATCGTTTAGAGCTGCTAGGCAGCATTATGGGTGAGTATACCTAATAACATCACTTTTGGTTTCATGCTTTCACCCTCTTTTAATGAAATATGTAATACAGCTAAATAAAACACTCTTAACACCTTTCAAATATTAAATAATATTGGTTATCCTTCTCATGGGCTGAAACTGCTGACTGGAATGTATCTCAGTATATGTAGAGTGACCAAAGATGTAGCCCTTTTCCAAACAAGAAATAACTTGAGTTCTCCATCCCTTTTTTTGGTACGTTTCAAGGCTTTGTGTGCCACATGCCATTCTCAAATTACTACTGAAACTTAGTTTTCAAAATGTTCATATTTAACCTTTTGGTACTGGGCATTAGGTCTTGACTAAGATTAAGACTATGGCTGATACTGCTTTTTCTGGTAGTTTTGACAGTTTTATATCTGTTCCTTCTTAATAAAAAGCATATTATCCCAGCTCCCCAATCCATAACTTGCAATTACCTAACTACACAACTTTATAACAGAAATTCCTATATTGACCATCCTTCATACAAACTTTAAATTTTTTAAGAGACTTCGATAGATTGTGATAACTAATAAAACCTGCTTTTACATGAGTTAGAGGACATTTGACTATTGGGCACTAGGGAGAGTTTGTCACTAGAACGAGTTATGCACCTAACTAGCTCTGATGCATTTGTTGAAAATTTTCAGCAGAAAATCTAAATTAATGTAAATTAAAACTAGTCATAGGCATAAACAGAAGGGGATTTTTTTGTCACTAATGATAGTCACTAATCCTAACTGGAATGTCATGGCCTGGTTTCTAGTCTCAACTCCAAGGACTTCAACAGATTTTCCTTTTGTTTCTCTGACTACCCAGCCTTCCACCCTGTTTCTCTTCTTACCCCCAGCCCCTCAGAAAAGGAGTCCTAAAAATAACTGGCTTCGTCCTCATGTGGAGTGCCACAGACCTGTAGAATCTCTCATCTGTGACAGAGGAAAATAATTCTTCTATACAGCTTCAGTTGTAACTAGACAGTGAAAGATTTATGGAGCTGGCTGAAACATGCCAGACAAGATATAAATCTGTATTTCATCATCAGTAGTTATCCTTCAAAAGAGGAGTAGGAACAGTCATCCTACTGCAGAAGTGTGACTGGACAATCACTTCTATGTATTACATTTTAACTTTCTCTTTTGTGCTGGTTTGTCTTGCAGGTGAAAAATGGCTGGGACCAGTTCCATCAGTTCCAAGACCCAAGATGTGAAAAGTCCTGAGGAAATACATAAGAGTGAAAATACATATGTACATGGTCAGTCTTCAGTGATTATCTGGATGTATCCAATTTTATGGAGAGATGGCTTTCTTGTCCTTAACAGCTAACTTCACAGCTCAGTCTCATCACTAATTACAAAGAAGTTCAAGGGTTGCCAGTATTACCAGTATGGTGAGGTCTTTACGAATACAGATGTGCTTCTTTTCTTTCAACAGATTAATGATTAAAATTAAAGAGTAAATATTTAACTTCTTGCAGATTAAACATTCTTCTTTCCTGATTAGTTGTCTTTCTCTTACTCTACAACCATGAGGCGTTTATAAAAAACACAGCAATTGTTGTTATGGGACTGTGTCTCTGGGTTTCTCATATGTTCCTGCCTGTCATTTAGAAACACACACACAACAGCCTAAGAGAAGCTGGCCACATCCTCCTTTTATTTTAAGTCCAAGATGATACTATGTAGACAGTAGAAGCACAAGACAAGATATTCATGCTGCCTTTTACTCTCCAGCATGGCAATTGGAGGGGACATGAGAGAGAAGAGTGGAAGAGAGAGGGACAATTCAAGCCCAAAGAAAAATTTAGGGAACCAATCAAGCAGTTCAAAAGTAACTGTTCCCTCCTGGACAGGATTTTATAGACCATGCTCTGCAGTGACTAACATTTGAGGAGGCCACTACACACATGCATTGTCAGTCATCAACCCCAGGCCTTGCAGGGGTTTTTAATTAATGCCAGTTTTACAGTAATGTCTTTGGAGGACAATACCTCCAAATACCTACAGTGAATACCATGTAAGTTTGGTTAGTAACTGAACCAGTTTTTCTTCCTGAAGGATGGCCTAATTGCTACCTATCCAAAGGTGAGTTGGATATGGCTATGAGGGACCCCATCATATAGTCTGCAGAAGGAAAGATGTGCAAAGAATAAAATTAAAATCAAACCACTTCATTTTTACTCTCATCTCTGATTACAGTAGTTAGAAATTTCACACAGAAATAGATTGAGCCTGGCCCTGTATTGGCTGAATTGGCATAACACACTTGAATTAATTTGATTTGTATGAGGCTTGATTTCTCAATGATTCCTGGCTGTCTCTGACACATCACTGAAGGAAGCAGAAGTAGCAGCAGCTGGAATTCTGTTTTTTGTCACTTTCTGAACTTTAAGGTAAAGCATATTCATGCTTGTTCACTTGAACAGCAAATCCTAGAACAAAGCATTGGAAAAAAAACCCGTATTCTTCATGTTCTTACAGCTGTAGGTGGTGTGGGAGTATCTTTTGTTCCCCCATCCACAATTTTTCCTTCTTGCACTTCTTTCAGCTCTTCAGGAAATATCCTATAATTTGAGATGTCCTTCCTCCTTTCCACCAGTGCACCCATTAGTCTTTGGGCAAACCCAGCCTGGAATTTAAGGAAATCTTTGTGAGATATAAAAGATGCTGCATTCATTTGGGAGAATGATAGGGAAGTTATCATGTATGTGGATGTCATAGGCTTCTTTGAGTCCCTTGAAGCCATGTTAAAGAAATTTTTTACCCCCTGAAATTTGCTAGACTCCAATTTGTGCTATCAAACTGATTCTGAGGTTGTGATAAAAATGGAATGACTGAAACATCACTTTAAGTCAGATCACCCCAGTGACCTGCGGCTACTGCCACAGGCAGTGCTATCTCAGAAATGGGTAAAATGGGAGATAATGAACTCTGGTGGGAAGGTGGGGAGAGTGCAAGGAACATCTTGAAATAATCTCATGGTGAAAGCCAGGGTCTCATGCAACTTTGTCCTTTTGACCAGCTAGACTGAAAAAAAACAGCCTTTGTGACAGAACATTGTTGATTTGGCAAATGGACCAAATGAGATAGATCTTACAGACTGCTATGTATTTCTCATAATTATCCTTAAAGGCCCCTAGACCTACTTGGAAATGAAATGCTCAAAGCCTTAGGTACTAAAATAGTACTTAAAAACTACTAAGATAAGGAAAATCTGAAGTTTGGATTTTCCTTACATTGCTTATTGCCTGTGATAACCACTAGTAAGTGGTTACAGCCTTTGCATTTCTATCAGTGAGAATGCATATTGTTGCAATTCTGACTGCATACCTATTTCGAGCAAAAGTTGCCTGTTTGGGAGCAGAGCTTTGAGGAAATTCTGCCTCTTGCTTAGGCAACCTTACTCCTGTGTTACAGAGACCTGATGTAAGCACAAGCTCTTGGCAGACACTGGTGATTACTCCAGTAAACACTAACTGGCAGCTACACTGTCATTCTCAGTACTTATCTTTGGTGTAGCATGCATTTAAGTAGTCTCAGTACTGAGTACCAGCTTCTTTACTTGGCTTCCCTTTCTGATCTTCTGCCTGTAAATATCAGTCTGCTGCAACAGCAACAGCCACCACCGCATGCAGTTGAATTGTTTATCTGACTGCTCTGAATCCCACCAGGTGGCAGGGCAGCTAAAAGTTGAGCATTACTTGAAAAAACATTGAGGATCTAAACTGTTGTGTCTTTTTACCAGTCACGGGAGTAGATGCTAAGCAGCAATAAGAACTGCCAGCTATTTAGGAATAGCTGGAAGAATTTTCCTCTATAAAGATGATACCAATTCTCCTTAGCTATATACCAAACTAGTTCCTGAAAGCGTTGCATCCACATCACTTTCAAGGTAGCATGCTGTTTAGCTGTCAAGCCAGAGAAGAAACTTTGCAAGGAAAGGGACTTTGAGCTGAAAGTGAGACTCTCGGCAACGCAGGCAAAACTGGGCTATAAACTCTATGGAACAAACTTGGAGGTGTGTTCCCTTTTGCTCTAGTACAGACCTCACCAGGAGATCCAGTCCCACTTCCCATGTCTGGAAAAGCTATGAAACTAGCATGGAGAAGTAGGTCCCACCAATGCTAGACTGAAAGCAAACAAGCAAGCATAGAGATAGGCACAAAGTCAAAAAATGTGCAGAAGAAAGTAGTTCAGAAGCATAATGAAACTATAGAAAGCTGAGGATAGGGGCAGAGAAAGCTAGGTGGCATCTGAGCAAAGGAAACCTAACAATGAAAGAAAAAAGCATAAAACTAGGCATAGATATGGGCAGAGAGGCGTGTCTCTATGGGAAATGCTGTTTGCCAGTTTGCTTCCCAGTGTGCCAGCCATTTCGGCGAAGCCACTGAGGC